GATGAGTCAAATGAAAGATTTTATTATACAAAGTGTTCAATACACGAAGATTCTAGCAGTTACGAATATTCTTGGGATACAATCGAAAGATAATTTCTTGTTTACATAAGGTCTCTACATTATTCAATATATCTCGAGCCCTTGTAGCACTTTAGGATCTTCACAGAGTATCATCCTTGGGTTGGATTCTTTGAATTGTTTCGTGTTTTAGAACGTTGACTTGTTCCTGAGCGAACAGGTTGATTTTGGACAGAAGTAACCGAATATGATTTAGGGTTAGAGGAACATTCTCGTTGGAAATGTCCAGGTTTACCACAACTTAGACATAGTCCTTGCGCACGCCAGCAATCTCCTGGATGGTGTCTTTTACAAACGTTACACTTTGGATGTTTCCATACTCTCATTTTGTTCATGGATGACGTCGATTGAATTGTCATTGATTTTCCCCTTTTTGAGTGTAGGGCACTATCAATTTCTTGCAGAGGTCTCTTCCCACTTGTATTGGGTTGTTCATTTACATTGACAACTTCAATCTTCAAACTTTCATAATAATCACTTAGATCTTTGTCGGCTTTAGAGATTAGGTCGTATGCCTCAATGAAATCCAGAGTTTGAATAGTAGAAACGTGCGGCCTGAGATCAGGTCGAAGTCTTTTGCGAAACTCCTCAATGCGGTCAGCTGCTGTGCTCACCAGTGTGGGTGCAAATTGAGCGAGATGGACAAATCTTTGTCGGTATTCAGGGAGTGTCATATCTCCTTGCTTCAATTGAATAAATTCAGCACGCTTTTCTTCACGGAATCGAGCTGGTATATATTCCTTCTTGAACACCCAGTCAAAGAATTCCCAAGTCCACGGTTTGGGTGTGTTTGGATTTTCGTCAGTGCGTTTCCACCATTCATAGGCTTCCTTGCGGAGCAATTGAGATGCAAATTTTGGATGATCAACAAGAGGTATGTTCAAATTTTGCAGTACACGAGTGGTCTGCTCGATCCATTCAAGAGCGATCTGGGGTTCGGCAATTCGATCTCCCAGGAACTCCTCAGCACCATTATCTTTCAAGGTTTTGAAAGTGATCAAACGAAGTGGTGGTGGAGGTGGTTGAAACATAGGGGCATGAGTCATTTGTTGCAAAAAGTTTACCATTAAGGTAGGTAACATAGCATCAGGTTGAGATTCAACATGTTGATTATTTTGTGAGTTCACTGGTTCATTTTGAATAGGAGGTGTGAAACTGGACGCTTCGGTATGAACATTTTCGGGTTTGTTGTTTGAAGCTTGGTTAGCTTGACCATGAGCGGTTTCTTGACTCATTCTATAATAACAGAAATTTCCTCATTAGAATTCTCTACTTGAACACACGAGTTGATAACAGATATTTGTTCAAACAGACTTCATCGATGTTTAAGTCACTAGTCATTTTACTATAAGGCGTCACTCCATTCAACGAGGTTGAGCTGTCCATCATTTCTAACAAGTAGGTTCCTTTGAATTTGACCAAACAATTCGTCAATTCATAGTAAAGGGTAGCGATTCTTGATCGTCAGTTTGTCTATCTTAACTAAGATATGATAGTATCTTTGACCGTAAGTCAATCTTAGAGAACACAATGGATTCTCTAAGCTGATCAAATAAGTCATAGATACAAGATAAGGATAACGATTTCATTTGATGGTAATTGATATGGAATTCAATCGATCCATCTTTGTTTGCGTACTCAATCGAGATGAATTCGGTCGGTTTAATAATCAGCTTTGCTTTCACCTATATGAGGTTAACATCATTGGTCTTCAGTTGAGGAATTCTTCATCACAAGTTGTCAATAGCAACGACGTTCATCCAATTCATATTAAGGATATTGTCAATCTCCTTGTAGGGTATTCCGACGAGATTTTGTAAGGAATTTTCGATTAACGAATGATTTCGATTCACACAATATAATCACATATTGTGCTGTAATGAATCAGATATCAGAATGGGATACAAAGTTTATTGATTCTAAACGTTCTCGTTTAAATCAGCATTCCGATCGTCTTCAGTCCACATGAGGATCTTTGACAGCAGCTTCGTGGATGTTATTCAACACTAGACGTTTCTTCATAGTCGTGTCACTTTCGTACGTTCTTTCGATGGAGATCAGTTTCGTTATTCGCGATGCGATGCGTACGTTGATAACGTATTAGAGGTTGTATTTTTTTTTTTTATTCTTTCGTCTCTTCACCGAGTACGAAAATTTAACTTGAGTCTATGCTCCATACGATTTCAGTACTAACAAATGTTATCTAATGAGAATTCAATATAGTCAATATTTACTAAGTAAATTCTCATACCTTTTCCTGGAGCAGAGAGATGCGAGAGTCGTGGATGTGACCAACTTTTTTTTTAAATCAAATTTTGATCCGAAGATCGGTTTTAAAACCATTTGCTTTGATACCAAATTGTAACACCCTAATCCGTCCAGGTCTGCAGCCCTTTTCGGACTAAAGTATTAACTTGGTAATCGTAACAATTTAAAACTTTTTCAAACACTTTTTATTTATCACAATAATATTTTTCATAACAGATACAGTACAGAGTATTCAAAAATATTGCGGAAGCGAATTTAATATTGACATATCATAAATCATTTCAAACTTGTCACATCCATCCCGACAATCTCGCCCCATCTGCCACCA